ATTCATAAAATTTAGTGAAATGAAAATGCCCAAATGCCCAAACCTGATGTGTGTATCACGCCCATTCTGGTGGTTCTGTACGACATGTAACTGTATAACGAACGCTCTCGCCGGTCTGCCGTTCATACTCCTCACGTCAATAACTTGCCATCCCACTGGCTCGGAGAACATCACCGCAAGACCCTCGTCCATATCGAGTATTGATGAGCCCAAGTGCACGACCACCCTATAATTATCATATCACCTGTTCCTGTCATTATTATNAATAAGCACAAGCAATTCCAACATTCCAAAAACTACTGCACTAAACTCACTTGCTGGGCGTATACGACTCATCAGTTTTATAGTCCAAATATAGCAACAAAAATGAAATATCCGTTTTTTTGGGAAATTCAATCGTAACAGTATGCGGCTGAGGTCCGTCTGACTGCCAATACTGGTCAACATTATCATCGAGAAGCTGATGGATACCAAATCCATCTGAAATAATACAAAGACTCGAATCAACTCAGCCAGTCTCAAGAACAATAAGAATACCAGTTTTGCAACTGGACAGAGTCCAACAAGCTTGCATCGATATATCACAAACATCGCCGTAATTGCTCGGTAAAGCTTTCATCCAGTCCGAACCACTTTGACTTTCCACTTTACTCATATCAATTTTACTCTGAGACGACGACTCATCTGATGGCTCCTCTTCATCTACATCCATCATTCTATCTTACTGCCTGCAATGAAAGCCCATTATGGATATAAGAAGCGACGATAAATTAGTAAAATTTCCAACTACAAAGATATGGATTATGCCCGTTAGTACAGATGACATTGAGGTGATTACCCTCAAAAACGTTAAGGTAACAAGTCATCTTCAGTTGATAAAATAATCTCACATAACAGATAATATTCAAGTCAAGTCCACTTCAAAGAAACGCTTCTCGATTCAAACAACTCATATTGAATCAACACATGCATCTGTAAACTCATTCTCTGACGCGTGCACACAGTATTAAAACATTGCAAGGGAAATAAATACAATTCTTTTTTCTTCCTTCGGAATTTTCATATGCTCCGATCACACATTGAGATTTGCATCATAAAACAATTTTACTTCCAATTGTAATGTGAGCAATTTCGTATCGAGTTAATTTATTGCTTTCCAAGAGATGCAATTCAACATTTACAAAATTGTTCGTACGAATGCATTTTGCAGA